GAGCCCAGGAGTTGGAGGTTGCTGTGAGCTGTAATGCCAGGGCACTCTGCCCAGGGGGACAGCTTGAGGCTCTGTCTCAAAAAATAAATAAATAAATAAATAAAATAAAATAAAATAAAAAAATTAGCTGGGTATGGTAGCCCATACTTATAGTCCCAGTCACTTAGTAGGCTGAGGCAGGAGTTTAGCAGTTGCTGTGAGCTAGCCTGAGTCCATGGCACTCTGGCAAAAAAGATGTGGCTAGGCACCTGTGGATCAGCAATTACGGCACCAGCCACACACACCGGGGCTGGTAGGTTCGTGCCTGGCCCAGGTCTACAATTAAAAAAAAAAGAGAGAAGAAAAGAAATAGCCGGGTGTTGTGGCAGGTGCCTATAGTCCCAGCTACTTGGGAGTCTGAGGCAAGAGAATCGCTTGAGGCCAAGAGTTTGAGGTTGCTGTGAGCTATAACACCTCGGCACTTAAAAAAAAGAAGATGTGTAATGCTAGTACTCTGGAATGTCTTGAGTTAACAAGTTGAGACCAGCCTGAGCAAGTACAAGACCCCAATCTCTAAAACTTGTGGTGGGCACCTATAGCCCCAGCTACATGGGAGGCTGAGGCAAGAGGATTGCTTGAGCCCAAAGAGTTTGAGATTGCTGTGAGCTGTGACTCCACAGCACTCTGTCAGGGGCAAGAAGGTGAGACTCTGTGTCAAAAAAGAAAGTGATAAAAGAAATGGGTACATGTCAGATCTATTAAGTATAGAGTATAAATGTCTTAACACAGTAATTAAGTAAATGAGGTGAAGGATACATTAACCAGTACAGTGTAAGCATCCCAAATTGTGTATTAAATCAGCACACTATACCCCATTAATGGATTAATATATACATGATCTACCTCTTTATGATTTAATTAAAAAAAAAAAAAAGAAGCAATGAACAAAGTTGACAATCTATATAAGTGGTTATTCCCAGAGAAACAGATTACATGTGGTATGGTGGCACTTTTTAAACTACAGAGAGTGCCATGGCACCACAGCTCACAGCAACCTCCAACTCCTGGGTTTAGGCAATTCTCTTGCCTCAGCCTCCCAAATAGCTGGGACTACAGGCACCCGCCACAATGCCTGGCTATTTTTTGGTTGCAGCCGTCATTGTTGTTTGGCGGGCCCGTGCTGGATTTGAACCGGCCAGCTCTGGTGTATGTGGCTGGCACCTTAGCTGCCTGAACTACAGGCGCCGAGGAATGGAAATTTTTTTTTAACTACTCAGCGTATGACTGGGCACAGTGGCTCACACCTGTAATCCCAGCATTCTGGGACACTCAGGCAGGTGGATTGCTTGAGCTCACGAGTTCAAGACCAGCCTGAGCAAAAGCAAGACCCCGTCTCTACTAAAAATAGAAAAACCGAGGCAAGAGGATCCCATAAGCCCAAGAGTTGGAGGTTGCTGTGAGGTATGACGCCATGACACTCTACCCAGGGCAACAGCTTGAGACTCCAAAAAAAGTATTCAGTGTAAAGTGTCTGGGGACAGAGTAATTTCCCACAAGGTGATTTACCTGTGATGTGAGCCAAGTACTGAACAGTGGAGGTTTTGCCAGTCCCTGTCTCCCCCACAAGCAACACGGGCTCCCCTTTGCTGACGCACACTGCAAGCTGTTCAATGAGAACAGAGGATGGCCGTGTAGCAGCAAAAGTGAACTTCTCCCTGGCAATGATAAAAACGAGCATAAAAACCGGGCTGCCAGCTTCTCTTAGTGTTGCTCTAAGGAATCAGATTTTCTGGATTTAACAAACAGAAATAAGAAAACAGCTCAAAGTAATGGTCTTCATGCTATACAGTCTCACAACACAGAAATGCCAGAATTCAGTAGCTCTCCATATATACCTGGTACTTACTATGCTGGGCTCCACAGATCTAAAACATGACTGAGAGAGACATACCTTGTACTATAAAACTTAGGAAGACATCTTGAGTACATTACCTGCCTTAGTCTCAGATTTCCCCACTGACAAGGTGTGGACAGTCATTCTAACTAGCTGTCATGGGTTGGATAGTCTTTCCCCCAAAATTCATGTCCACCCAGAACCTGTGAATGTGACCTTATTACAAAATAGGGCCTGTAGATTTAATCAAGTAAAAATAAATTAAAACTATGTAGGCATCCAATGCAATTCCTAGTGTCCTATGAAGCGGGAGATTTGGGGTCAGGAATGGTTCACGCCTATAATCTAAGCACTCCTGGGAGCCCAATGCAGGAGGATCAATTGAGATCAGGAATTCGAGATGAGCCTGAGCCAGAATGAGTCCCTGTCTCTACGAAAAATAGAAAAGTTGGCTCATCACCTGTAGCTCAGTAGTTACGGCACTGGCCACGTACACCAGGCCTGCTAAATGACGACAACCATAAACAAAAAAAAATAGCCAGGCCTTGTGGCAGGTGCCTATAGTCCCAGCTCCTTGGGAGGCTGAGGCAAGAGAATCACTTAGGTCCAAGATTTTGAGGTTGCTCTGAGCTATGATGCCACAGTACTCTACTGAGGGCAACACAGTGAGACTCTGCCCCCCAAAGAAAGATAAATAAGAGGGAAATTTGGAGACAAAGAAACACACTCAAGGAGGAAGGCCATGACAAACACAGATGGACTGGAGTGGTATAGGTACAAGCCAAGGAAAACCAAGGACTTCTAGGCGCCAACCAGGAAGAGGCAACAGTCTCCTCCTCTAGACCCTTCAGAAGGAGAAGCATCTCTAGCCTCCCAAACTGGAAGGAATAGCATCTATCATTTAAAGCCACCAAGTTAATAGTAATTTGTTATGGCAGCCCTAAAACACAGAAATACCAGTTTTCAGGAGTATTACAGCCACTGCGTGAGAAAGCTCAGCACAAAGTCGGCCCAGGCAGGATGCAACAAACAAGGCCTCGATCTCAGAGTCGCACAACCCCAGCCTTCAAGAAGTTTACAGACTCAGGTGAGATCCTGCATTCCTTAACCAAATGCAGTTAGGTGAAATCCAGGATTCACCCCAAAGACCCTCATGGCCGCCTCCACCTGTGGACATGTAGTTTCACAGAACGAACTTTGGGAAAACAGTGCTCCCCCCCTCCGCGCAGCGCAGTGGGAGATCACAGCATGGATATGTGTTTTGTGCAGAGATACGGTGGGGGACGAGGCCTTCTCTCATGCTCCTAGCAGCCCCTGTCACCGACTAGCTCAGAATCTCACTTACTTCTGTATGTGAACAGCCTCACTCTGCTTCCGTAAAAGCCGCACTCGACCCACTTGCACATCTAGTTCATTGATCACAATTCCTGGTTTATAAAGTTGACAGAAGAACTCAGTCTGTAGAAGGGAAAGATTTTACTTGAGCAAACATAAGCATACTCTTCGAACATATTCTCATCTAAGGAGACTTATTGTGCCCTTCTACTTAATCCTCTGCTAAGAATGGCTCTCAATTTCTAAGATAAGCAGCTCGGTGCCTGTGGCTCAAGTGGCTAAGGCTATAGCCACATACACCTAAGGTGGCGGGTTCGAATCCAGCCTGGGCCCACCAAACAACGACGGCTGCAACCAAAAAATAGCTGGACGTTGTGGCAGGCGCCTGTGGTCCCAGCTACTTGGGAGGCTGAGGCAGGAGACTCACTTGAGCCCAGGAGTTGGAGGTTGCTGTGAGCTGTGATGTCACAGCACTCTACCCAGGGGAACAGCTTGAGGCTCTGTCTCAAAAAAAAAAATTTTTTTTCTAAGATAAGTTAGGCCAAGCACAGTGGCTGACGCCTGTAATCCTACCACTCTGGGAGGCCAAGGCAGTTGGATCACCTGAGCTTAGAAGTTCGAGACCAGCCTGAGCAAGAGTGAGACCTCACCTCTAAAATAATAGTAGGGTGTTGTGGCAGGTGCCAACAGTCCCAGCTACTTGGGAAGCTGAGGCAAGAGGATCACCTGAGCCCAGGAATTTGAGGTTGCTGTGAGCTATGATGACATAGTACTCTACAAAGAGCAAAAGAGTTAGAGTCTGTCTCAAAAAATAAAAAATAAACATTAAAGGACAGGCAAGTTAATCAAGGAATTTTTTCCACTTACCAAATTTCTAACACTATGTTTCTGAAAATATTGACCACAATTCCCTGACATTGTAACTTTTTACACATTCAAATAAGCCTCTGCCTATATCTAAAGTGAACATGTAAACATATTCCAATAGTCATAAGTATGCTCTACATCTAAAAATCAAGAAGAAATCAGAGCAGTCTTTCTCCAGCTAAGCTTTCCTCTTATTTTTTGGAGACAGAATGTCATTTTGTCACCCTGGGTAGAGTGCTGTGCCATTATAGCTCACAGCAACCTCAGACTCTTTGGCTCAAGCTATTGACTTCCCTCAGCCTTCTGAGTAGCTGGGACTAAGGGGCCTGCCATGATGCCTGGCTATCTTTAGAGATGGGGTCAGCCTACCAAGCTTTCCTCGTCTTTAGATTTCCAATAGCCACTACTTTTTTTGTCCCCAGTACTAACCCAAAGAAACCCAGATTTACTTCAGTTTGGGGACAGAAGTTGAGCCCCTCCCCAACCAAAGAAGATGAACACTGATCAGTCAAAGCCAATCACAGTGGTTTCACTCCTCTCACCTACTATAGCTTCTCATTTCCACATTTCATTGTTTAAGCTCCTTTCATTACAGTACTCTCTTACCCCATCTAAAACCATCCCACTTCAGGAGTCCAAGAAAAATCATTAGTATTACAATTCCCAATATAAGGATTTTTAGTCATCATTGTTTTGGGAATGCCAGATAACTGCCCCGAGATAAGCCCCAGACATTTCACCAGCCACCACCACCACTGCTCTCTTCCTCCACAAATGTGTATTTTCATATAAAATAATGACAAAGTGTTAACATCAGCAATGAACCTAAGTACATAGCTATTCTTTTCAACTTTTCTGATGGAAGATAATAAAAAGATGGAACTGGGTGGGCATCCGTAGCTCAGTGGTTAGGGTGCTGGCGGGATCGAACCCAGCCCAGGCCTGCTAAAACAACAACAACTACAACAAAAAAAGAGCTAGGTGTTGTGGTGGGCACCTCTAGCTAGTCCCAGCTACTTCGGAGGCGGAGGCAAAAGAAACAATGGCAACTGCAACAACAACAACAACAACAAAAAAAATACCGGGCATTGAGGCAGGCGCCTATAGTACCAGCTACTTGGGAGGCTGAGGCAAAAGAATAGCTTGAACCCAGGAGTTTGAGGTTGCTGTGTGAGGCCACAGCACTCTACCAAGGACAATATAGTGAGACTCTGTCTCAAAAAAAATAAATAATAAAACGATGGAAAAAAAACCTATGCACTGAACTGTATGAACAAAGATGTTATTAGGACATAGTTATAGTGCTGAACAAAATGTTCAATAAAACACTGGGTAATTGGGGCCGCGCCTGTGGCTCAAAGGAGTAGGGTGCCGGCCCCATATGCTGGAGGTGGCAGGTTCAAACCCAGCCCCACCAAAAACTGCAAAAAAAAAAAACCACTGGGTAAGTGTATGCTAAAAAGACATGAGAAAGGTCACAGATGTTGGAAATTTTATGCTCACGATACACATCAATAAACTGCTAACTTTCAGAGGAGTTAAACTGCAAAAGGTATTCCAGGTCAGATTAGACACTAACGAGCTTTCTTTCAACAGGTAAACAAAAATAGCACCACATACCTTTTTCTTAGAAATGTTCAATTTGCTTCCAATAACTTCTGCCATTCTCAGTTTGCTTGTATGCTCAGAAAGCATTGCTGTGAAACAGTCCAGAGCCTATTAAAATAACCAAAATAAATGGCAGCTATTTTTAAATAGAATTTATTAATCACAGAGCATCACTCTCAGGACACAATGGGTAGGAATGGAAAATTCATCAGCAACACTTCCGAAGGACCAAAGGGAATGCGAGTAAGGTAGCAACTCCAGGTTCAGTACCTTACATTTGGAGAGACAGGACACCAACAGATGTGATTTGCAAATCCTAACTTCAGGAAAGCAGTAAGTATTAACACTCAGGTATCTGATTCATATGAAAAATGACCCTCATAGAATGCCAAAGTAACACCAAAAGACTGTTCCTGGTTGAACCTGGTGGCTCACACTGGTAATCATATTATGCTGCCAGGCCAAGGCAGGGAGATCCCTTGAGCTCAGAAGTTTGAGATCAGCTTGAGCAAGAGTGAGACTCTCTTTCTACTAACAGTAAAAAAAATTAGATGAGCATGGTAGCACAGCCGACTGTCCCAGCTACTCAGGAGGATGAGACAGGAAGATCACTTGAACCAGGAGTTTGAGGTTGCTGTAAGCTATGACAACACTGCACCCTGCCCTGGGAGAGGGGAGTGAGGGGAGGAGAGAGGAATGTAGGAAGAACCAAAGATCACTTTCTAGCTGCAAGGGAAACACCCTTACAATGACCAGTATAACACACCACTTGGTCACTATCCTGACCATCTACTCAATCCTAACAATAACCAGCTATTGTCTTCTTTAGCAATAAACTATAAAGTACCACTAAAAATGGATTCTATCAAAGAAAGAATCTAAAACGTTGAATCCATCAAATATTTTGTTAAACTTCTACTTAACATGAATTACCCCTAAATGTCCTTTATATGTGAAGATATAAAAAGAATATATCCAGCCTCAGGGCCCATAGCTCTGTGGTTAGGACACCAGCCACATACACTGAGCCCAAGCCTGCTCAACAACAATGACAACTATAACAAAAAATAACCGCCAGCCATTGTGGCAGGCGCCTGTAGTCCCAGCTGCTTGGGAGGCTGAGGCAAGAGAATTGCTTAAGCCCAAGAGTTGAAGGTTGCTGTGAGCTGTGACACCACAACATTCTACCAAGGGCAACATAGTGAGAGTCTGTTTCAATAAAATAAATAAATAAATAAAATAAAGAATATATCCAGTCTCTGTCCCCAATTCTTGGTGCACTGGTGTCAAAAAACCCTTGGAAATACTCCAGTAAGGAGTGTTTATTATTTATTCACTATGACTTCCTATGCACCACACCTGAATTTATGCTAATGCAGCAATTCACGGTGGATTCTTAGACAGTTTCAAGAAAACGGCTGGCCAAGCCAGAAAGACCAAGCTCATCATTAAAGGACTGAAACTTGGCTCAGTGCCTGTGGCTCAAGTGGCTAGGCGCCAGCCACATACACCTAGGGTGGCAGGTTCGAATCCAGCCCGGACCCACCAAACAACAATGACGGCTGCAACCAAAAAATAGCCGGACATTGTGGCGGGCGCCTGTGGTCCCAGCTACTTGGGAGGCGGAGGCAGGAGACTCGCTTGAGCCCAGGAGTTGGA